GGGGTATCCCGTCTTTACAGAGAATCTTTTATAGAGAATGCAAATATAGAGAAACCTTTATAGAGAAAACAATTGTAGAGAATGTCGTTTATAAAGAATATCGTTTATAGAGAATGATTTTATAGAGAATTTATTTTATAGAGAAACTTTTAAAGAGAAAACAATTTTAGAGAATGTCGTTTATAGAGAATCTCATTTATAGAGAATGATTTTGTAGAGAATCTCGTTTACAGAGAATGATTTTGTAGAGAATCTCGTTTATAGAGAATGATTTTATAGAGAATTTATTTTATAGAGAAACTTTTAAAGAGAAAACAATTATAGAGAATGTCGTTTATAGAGAATCTCATTTACAGAGAATGATTTTATAGAGAATCTCTTTTATAGAGAATGATTTTATAGAGAATATTTTTGCAGAGAATTGTTTTACAGAGAATTATTTTACAGAGAATTATTTTACAGAGAATTATTTTACAGAGAATTGTTTTAGTGCGAATTATTTTATAGGGAAGGATTAATAATTTTATATTGAAGACAGAGAATGATTTTATAGAAAATGAATTATTTTAGAAATAAATTTTCTCAAATATGACCATTTACCGTCTAATTCTTTTTTTTTGGCACTTATTAAATCAGATTTAATCTAATATAATTTATTAAAAATATATTTAAGGATATTTATTTGGAAAATCTACTCAATAAGAAGCTAAGGATATTTAATCTGGAAAATCTACTCAATAAGAGGCTAAGGATATTTAATCTGGAAAATCTACTCAATAAGAGGCTTTGAGTTTTTTTTTAATTACAATGTAGAATATTTTATTATTATATATATTTGATGCGAAATATCAAATACATTTAGAAAAGGAAAACATCAAGCTTAAAAAAAATTTCCAAAAAAGCAATGTCCTACACCTTCACTTGGAAAGCAATAAGATAAGTTAGAAAAATTAAGTTATTCACAAAAATAAATAATTACTAAGTTAGTAATAATCTTAATAACTTAACATTTTATTGCATAAATTCTTTATTCAAATTTTTTCGATCAAATAAAATTAATTCAAAATAGTTCCATAATCCAAAATATATAATTTTTATTCATAACAAATGCATATATACATTATAAATATAAATTTAATTATATAATTTAAAAATATAATTTAAACATTTAAATTAATATTGTGAGACAATGCCCTTAAGTAATCTAACATGGGCCTTGAATAGTAATCTTCGACTATTCTATATACCCGTTGAGCTCTTTCCCGATATTGTTTCTTTGAGAGTGGGGCCAATAGTCCCAAAGAATATTGCTCTAATTTATAGCAATTAAGGCTATCTTCATCTTTGAGAGCTAAAAATTAAATAAGATTTTTAAAATATTTTAATATAATATATATTTCATACTTTTGATAAATTTCCAAATGGTTGGATGATGGGAACTTATATGGGAAGAAAAACTCCGGTGCCAACCTTCTACTGCATTGTTGGTATTTGGAGCTCGCAACAGAGTGGAATCATAGCAATTCCATAATGAAATACTAAACAATGGGGATCTCCTCTCCATTGCTATCATTTTGCCTATCCATGTCTCCTCGAAGTATTCTATCAAAGGTTGGAGAATATCCCGCCTTTCTTGATAGAATTCGGAACCAACCAGCACCTCGAATCCATGGATTATGTCATCCACTGGCACATATGCCAGTGATAATAACATCTTAATTTGTAAAGCAAAATTAGGCTCTGTCATATATGACATACAAATTATTGAATTTTTTTGAACGGCACGCCATATGCATTGAGACATGTGGAAGAAACATCCACGGTTATCAGCCAACGGAAAAGATTGGTTGAAAGCTGATATGGCTGCCAATTCAAAGTCTGTCATTATAGACCTAGGATCAAGATGAATTTCTAAATTTTTAATTTTTTGGAAAATATTTAAATAATCTTGATGGCGACGCGACGCCATAAGGATATAAACGGCAGGAATAATCGTGTCGTATTTCATTCCATGGATGGTATAGATTTGTTGAAAGAGTGGAGGGCATGTTTTGAAGGTGCCATCTGCGTACCATTTGTCGCACGTTGATAGGAACTGTATATTTTTCACTGTTGAAAATATTAGGCATCGATGATCATGGTGACCGCTATCATATAATAAAAATTGTTGCCCGTTATTATTTATTTGATATTCAATAGGGATTATTAGGTCAATTAAATTAACAGGAACAGTAGGCGCCCTTCCTACTAGGCGTCGTTTTCTTTGAATTGTTCTTTTGAGTAAGGAACAACTTGGCATTCTCCCCATAGCTGCTGTAGATATATTGGTTGTTATATCCGCTATTATATTATTGGGTAGAGTTTGCGAGGTAGTTGCCTTTTCCTTTATTTGATTTATTTCTTTCCTTGCTTCAATTTCGGCAATGTCTGGAACATGATTATGCATTTGATTATGAAATATAACTCCAGATTTTGTCCTTGCCCTTCCATTGCACTCCTCCAAGTGGAATTTAACACAACGCCAATAACTTGTATCGTTAATAAGCTTTTCTCGTTGAAATATAAATGATTCAAAAATTAGTAATTGATTGTTTTGACTGCTTAAAATAAATTCAGCCATTAAAATTTATAAGTTCTTTAAAAAAAATTTAGATTTCAAAATTAATGATAATTTTTCTTAAATCCTATTATATATAAAATAAAACTTAAATAATTGTAAGTTTAAACTTTTATTATAATTTTTATTTATTTGTATTTTCATAGAGCAAATCTCAATCAAATATAAATTTTTTTTATTTCCATTTTATTTTTAGATTTTTTTTTCTCAACAAGAATTATATTTGTCCATATTTTCTATGTTTTATATTTTTACATAAAAAAAAACAAGACAGACGCCGTCATATAAATTCTCGGAACCCTTGAATAAAAAAATAGTAAAAAATAATCTTAAAAAAAATTATTCACGTTCCTGATTTGCAATTGCTTATGAATAATTATGATAATATTTTTAAGTTTCCTGTTGTTATTTTTTTCAAAATACGCTGAACAATTAGAAGTAGTAATGTTAAAATTATGAAAATATTTCCTTCTTTATCGCCTCTTATTGAGTAGATTTTCCAGATTAAATATCCTTAGCCTCTTATTGAGTAGATTTTCCAGATTAAATATCCTTAGCTTCTTATTGAGTAGATTTTCCAAAACTTTTATTATAATTTTTATTTATTTGTATTTTCATAGAGCAAATCTCAATCAAATATAAAATTTTTTTTATTTCCATTTTATTTTTAGATTTTTTTTTCTCAACAAGAATTATATTTGTCCATATTTTCTATGTTTTATATTTTTACATAAAAAAAAACAAGACAGACGCCGTCATATAAATTCTCGGAACCCTTGAATAAAAAAAAGGAAAAAATAATCTTAAAAAAAATTATTCACGTTCCTGATTTGTAATTGCTTATGAATAATTATGATAATATTTTTAAGCTTCCTGTTGTTATTTTTTTTAAAATACGCTGAACAATTAGAAGTAGTAATGTTAAAATTATGAAAATATTCCCTTCTTTATCGCCTCTTATTGAGTAGATTTTCCAGATTTAATATCCTTAGCCTCTTATTGAGTAGATTTTCCAGATTAAATATCCTTAGCCTCTTATTGAGTAGATTTTCCAAATAAATATCCTTAAATATATTTTTAATAGAAAGAGCTCAACGGGTGTATAGAATAGTCGAAGATTACTATTCAAGGCCCATGTTAGATTACCTAAGGGCATTGTCTCACAATATTAATTTAAATGTTTAAATTATATTTTTAAATTATATAATTAAATTTATATACAATGTATATATGCATTAGTTTCTATTAGTGCTTTGCTTTAACTAGTAGAGTAGCAATTTTTAAAAAAAACTATTAGCAACAAAGCCAGCCTTACGCCAATTTTTTAGAAAATTTTGTCAATATTTAGTTGCTTTGTGCATTATTTTAATCTGCATGGCCCGGCCCCGATTTTTTAAAAATATATTATATATTTTTGCCTAGATAATAATGGTGATTTAAAATATTTGATTTTAAGATATATGGCCTGGCCCGGGTTTTTTAAAAAAAAGCTTTTTTGACCCGGCCCGTGCATTTAAAAAAATAAAATTTTAGGCTCGGCCCGGGTATATTTAAAAAAAATTAAAATACAGCCCAGTCCGTGTATCCGGGCCGGATTTAAAGGGCCTGTAGGTCTCTGATTTATAGTGCGCGTTTCTAATTTCCCTGATAAATCTGATTTTACCAAATCTATTCCGAAGAGAATCTACCCTGGGAATTTCATACGATTTCGCCAATTTAATAATTTATAATGAAAATCTATATAATTTTGTAAAAATTAAGGTAAGGGCGATAGTTTGATGGGTATTTTGTTCTATTTTTTGCATTTTATTGAGCGCGTTTTATTAAATTTTAAATCTGATTTTGCCGAAAATGCATTCCAATATGTGTAGAATACCCACCCTATAAATTTCAGAAGATTTTATATTGAACTTCTGAAGAAATTTTAATTTACATTAATCTGAAATTTATAAGTAATGTTAGTAGCCTAAAAATCAGCTAAACCTAATTTGGCTTAACCGAAAAATCGCCTAAAATTAATTAGACAAAATGTAGGGACTGGGAGCTAGGCTAATCGCCCGTCTGCGTTATGCAACACTAAGCCTAGCCTTTATTAAAATTATTTTATAAATTTATTATGTAACGATATATGACGAGTGATTAACCGAGCTCCTTAGCCGATGCCTAATTTTTGACTATTCGTTTTCGCCTATTTTTATGTTAAGCCTAATTATGCTTAGCCGATTTTTTGGCCTAAAAACTTGGCTAACCGTTTTGGAATTGCCTAAAATTAACCGATTGCGCAACATTAAGGGTGGGTATGTTACACTTATTCAGGTGCATTTCTTGCAAAATCAGATTTTAAATTTAAAAAACGCACTCAATTAATGATATTAAATGCAAATAACAACAAAAAATAAAACAATACCCATCAAACTATCGCCTTACCAAAATTAAGTTAAGATCACTAGAGTACTGTCTAGTATTCACATGGTAGGAGGGAACACTAGGGGGTGGTTGGATCAGTGGCGTGGCTAGGAATTTTCCTTAGAGGGGGTCCATACATATAAAAGCTGGGGGGCGGCCGGGTTTATCTTATAAATCATAATCATATCTTCGATAATATATAATAAATATATTTTTTAAATGCATCAATAATATGTTATATTATAATTTAGTAGATTATTCTCAATGACTTTATAATAATACTATCCAGAATAATTTCAATAGTAATATAATATCCTTCCACAAACATCAAAACAGAAAAATATAATTCATATAAAATCACTTTTAAGTCTTTTGAACGTATAATCTAAAAATAATTTTTGCTCTGGGAGGGGTCCAAACTCGAAAACCACCCCCGTAGCTACGCCACTGGGTTGGATCAATTTCTGTCGAAATCATCATAGGTCAGAAAATAGTTGTATCTGAATTTACAAAATACAAAATGATAGTTCAAACTCTTACCTAAAAATTATACATCGACAAAATTTAAAATAATACACCTTTTTCTCTAAATTGATTTTAGTAAAATGAAAATTCTTATTACAAGCCGTAAACTCCTTAGCAGTTTAGAGAAAGATGAATCAAAAAGTTTAAAATGTTTTTTATAGGGTTTTTGCACTTGTTAAACATAACGAAATTCCAAATACAAACTACCCCTTTTAATTTCAATGTCTAACTTGAATTATAACCCCTTACCCTGTGGTAAAAGGTCCTGTTTAACATTGTTTGAATGGTTAAGTGTCCTTTTATTATTGGTAGATAGATCTGGTTATAAGCAAGTATAATTATCATTAATATTTAAATTTCTTCGTATCATTAGGACTAATTATTTATTCAAACTTTTCTGTTGAAAGGGGGGTGGGTGGGTGTTTTTTTAAAATCCTGCATAAAATTTTTGAACTCTATAATTGTCCCATATATAATATTTCTCTATAAAATCAAGATCTACAAATAATTCTCTACAAAATAATTCTCTACAATGTAATTTTCTACAATATAATTCTCCACAAAATAATTCTCTATAAAAGTAATTCTCTTTAAAATCATTCTCTATAAACAACATTCTCTATAAAATCATTCTCTTTGAAGTTATTCTCTATAAAGGACATTCTCTATAAAATAATTCTCTTTAAAATCATTCTCTATAAATTGCATTCTCTATAAAACCATTCTCTATAAACGGCATTCTCTATAAAACCATTCTCTATAAACGGCATTCTCTATAAAATCATTCTCTTTAAAGTCATTCTCTATAAAGGACATTCTCTATAAAATAATTCTCTTTAAAATCATTCTCTATAAATTACATTCTCTATAAAACAATTCTCTATAAATGCATTCTCTATAATTGTTTTCTCTATAAATGTTTCTCTATAAAATACATTCTCTATAATGGTTTCTCTATAAAGACGTGGAACCGATATCGGCGTGCATTCCAGATCCATATATCAAAATATGGAAAAGGAGTCATCGCTCAATGAAATCTTTTAAAAAACAGCCCAAAGAAAACAAAGAAATAAAAGATTTATACATATTTTTTTAATATTTATTTATTTTTTAATTTATATAAATAATCGGGGCCATTAAATTTGTGACATTATTTTTAAAATATTATATTATGTATAAATAAAGAATTGATTCAAATTCGCAATAAAAAAAATCAATTTAATATATATATATATATCATATTTTTTTTATAATATATTGAAGAATAAAGTAAATTTAGGCGAAGAAAATGATTAGAACATTAATATTATATTTTAACTATCTAATAATATAATATAAAAAAATAATTAATTAATAAAAAAGGTGTGTGTAAAAATGAAAAATCGCGAAACATTAAAAAAAATATTTTTGTAAACCTTTTAAAATATTATTAATAATTCCCCATATAATATATTGTGAAAAATATTTTAAATTATGGTAGACTATTCCAAACATGTTTAAATAAATTAAAGTTTTAGATTTTATGAACTAAAGAATTTATAAACAAGTCCGAGTTTGTTCGGCTCAAATACTCTTTTGGAAATAATATATATATATATAATTTGAATCTTGTTGGATCGAGAATTTCATTTCTGTGTTTACCCTTTTTGATATTCCGCTGACATCATTTTTACCAAAATGGTTGAAGATTTTATTCCCAGCTAAGAATATTAATTCTTACGTATTGAGTATCAACTAATTGAACAATAACGATACCGATAATCGTAATATAAAGATATAAATTTTCATACGACGATCTAGATTTTGAATTTTCTTATGAGATTAGACTGACATAGCTGATAAAAAGAGAGCCACTTTGATTAGCACATCTAATAATAAAAATTAGAATATATTAAAAATTGATTGTTCACTTAATCAATAATAATTTTAGTTCTAGTCAGCCTATTTTTGAAATCCATTATACAGGGTATTCTGCCAATGAATAACAATTATTTATAAGCAAAATATCAAAATTAATCTACATAAACCTATTCTTATTTTTTTTTATATTAACAAATTTTTATAGGAATTTT